CTCTCTCTCCTATAATATAGGCTTGCGCCATTTGCCCTCCCCTCACGACCCTCAGGAGAGCCCCCGTGAAGCCTCCTCCTCCTCCTCAACTGACCTGCGGAACTGCCTGCCGCTTTGCTGGGGGGAGGGGGAACAAAGGGAGCTGCGGATCATAAGGAAAACTGCACCCCCGCTCCCTATTCCGGCGTGTCCCCAAGGGCCCCCTCCTCGAGGGAGGAAGAGGGCTCACCCATTGACTGCCGGCGCCCTCCAGCCAGAGTCGCTCCCTCGTCCTTCCCTCAATGCCCACAGCCGTTAAGAGATTTTAAATTTCTGCCTGGTTTCCAAAGCAGCCAATTGCCACTTGCCTATCAGGCCTTGCTGCCATCTGATTGGGTGCAGGGGACAGAGGGAGGCAGGAAAGAGGCCGGGGATACGCCCATGACGATCACTTGACCTGGGCTGACCACAGCGGTGCAGGAGCACAGCGGTGCTGAAGCAGCCGCAAATTTCCCAAATTCCAGTCCCACGGGAGTCATGCATCCCGAATGTTGGACGCATTCTGTAAGTTAGCCCATTTGAAGTATCTTGGTTCAAAAACTGTTGCCCTGTGACGCACCGTTTCGCCCAGTTGAAGGTTACAGACCCGAGAGGTTTAGTAGTATGTAGATGTGGCTTTTTATGTGTACTGTAATCTGTGAGAGAAAGCCAGCCAGCCAAATGATAAATATGTAACCAGGAAATGCATTCATCTGAAAATGATGTGTATTTTTCACTTTAAACGCCTTGCTCTTAAATAATTAAAAAGCATATATCTGTTTTCAATTCTTTTGCGGCGACCCAAGATCCGGTTTTGGTACGCACCTGAGAGAGACCTTCTGGTGCAACTTTTAACAAGGGGCCTCACCTCGTCTAAATCCGGCACTGTCAAAGAGCATATTGAGTCCTTTTGTTATCATTAGATAAAATTGCCTCTCTTAAATCCAATCCTTAATATCAGGAGTACTGTTACTTTTCCAACTTCTCAAAGGAATTCTCTGATCAACGCTCCAGGCCTGGGACAGCCATAGCTCCTCATAAATAGTCAGATTCTAACAATTTGGGACACAGCTCAACATCTTGAACATTAAAACAATTCCGCAGCAATCACGTATGCACATTAAAGCATTGCTGCTTCTGAACGACCCTCCCCTCCCATTTTGCAGAGCCTGTTCAAAAGGACAAGGAAGCCGGCCGGGAGACAGGTGGAGCGCGGCGGAGGAGGACGCCTTTCTCGCGGTCCAGCTTCCTTTGCGGCGCCGATGGGCCAAAGACACAGTTGGTCCTCCTCGGCCCTTACGTCCTGCCGAGGCATTTGGCCCCTGGAGCTTTGGGGTTCCGGCCCGTTTGTGACGTGGGATGGGAGGCAGGGAGCTTCGCAGGGTGCCAGAGGTTAGACTTCTCCACGGACAAGCGCTCGGAGTCCCTGGGCCCCCTTCATCAGGACTTGGCCTGGGGCGGTGCTGGGACAATTCCTTCCAGGCTTCTTCAGCAGGAAGGGGCGGAGGAGCAGGAGAGGACATGACGATGGGGCTGGGCGGGCGAAAGGTGGGACTGGGCAGTTCTGTTGTTCTGGGTTGGGTCCTTTCCCAAGGGGTGAAGAAAGGGAAAGAAAGACCCCATTTTTATCCTACTTTCCTGCACACACACGTCTGAAGAGACCATAACAAGGTTGCCTTGAGCACGAGGGAGAGTAACAAAACCGACCCTGCCTAAACCAACAAACGGAAGAGCAGCAGAAGACCAAGAGTACTGACCGGAGGGTCACTGCAGCAGTTTTGAGAATGCCCATAAATGACACCCAGACCACCAGCTGTGCTCCAGGAGCCTCGACGAGTTTGGCCAACTCTTCATTTCCATCTGGCCCCTCTCTGGGGTGGGGAGACTTTCGGGAGGCCCTAAGGGTGCCTCCTTCTCTCCCCAGGTGACAAGCAGGGCGGTCGGTGGGGGGCAAAGCAAGTGGGCCTGGAGGGGACAACCTTCCCCCGCGAGAGCCGGCCGAAAACTGTTTCTGCTGCCCAAGGGCTGCCCCAGCCTCAGCCAGGCCCAGGGGGATTAGGGGAGCTTGACTTCCCACTGATTTCGGTGCGTCTGCCAAAGGAACGATTTGCCCACCTGGATCCAGCCAAACATTCTTAGAGCTCATTGATGCGTTGAGGTTTGCAAGCCCAAAAGCATTTAATTGCCCCTGGCCCCTGCTGGCTTGTAGAATCCCTCTAGGAGCTGGAGAGGGCAGCATAAGAACTCCACCAAGAAGCGCCAGCCGACATTTCTGCAGGAAGGACCAGGCTGGCTCGCTAACTGGGTAAGTGAGGCGCATGGCCCGTCTTGGTGGGGTGGAGCTTCGGCAGCAGAGCTCAGATCTCCACAGAGCAATGGCCCCCCTTGCAAAGGTGCAGGCCTCTGGACCGGCTTCTCTTTGCCCGCAGGCGGTGCCCCAGCTGTGTCTCACTGCTGTGGCACGCTGCCAGGCGGACCGCTTCGCTCCCTGCTCTGGGCCCCTGACCTAGAGGCCGATTCCTTGGCGGTGCTGGGGAGGAAGCTGCGAGAGGCCGGGCCTTGAGGAGCGAAGGTGGGCTGGGAACCCAACGGCTGGGGCGGCCCTCGAAGGCTGGCTCTCCTCAGAAGAAGCTGATCTGGAGTCTGCCCAGCCTAGGACTTAGAGCCAGCTTACTGAACAGGCGATCGCCTGATCTTTTCAATGCTGCTCAAGATTTCCAAGGCCCGGGAATTGTGCCACGGAATTCATCCGCATGGTCTTGCGGCTGTGGGTTGGGGTTATGAATGCAATATATCGAAAAACATGGACCTCACTTTAGGTGTGAGTGCATCTGAGTTTCTTCTCCACATTTCCCCCAGAAAGTCCATGTTTCGTTGTAAGAAGAACCCTTCTTAAGAAGAAGCAGGATAAAGTCTGCCCACTCGGTTGCTTGCCGGACTGGCCACCCTGGGAAGCCCACGGACTGAACTCAGCCCCTTTCTCAAAGGGTTAGGAGAAGTCCCCCCTTGTTCCTTACCTTATTTTGGTGGGGGGGGGGCGGTTGTATGGGGCACACTGGGGAGTTTGTTTTAGCCTCATGTTCCTTCAGGTCATTTCTTCCCCACCTCCTTTGGGTCCTCATCTTTATCTGGGCAGCCAGAAAGCGGGGCGTAAAAGTACATTTGCAGCAGGACTCTTTTTGCGGGGTGTGATGGGTGACGGGGGGGGGCGCAAGGGCTGTTAACAACCTGCTGCGGTCCTGACGTGATTATGGATGTCTGCATCCAGAGTTTACGGGCAACTCAGCAGAGAATCAGGACAGGAGCTTGTAGGTGGCTTCTGAACAGACCAGGGTCCTTCGTGTGGCTGACGCTGGCTTCCTTTCTGCTACTCAAGGACCGCGAAGGTCTGGAGACGTCTCTGCCTTTGGGGCGTCTGGAAAACTCTGCTGCCGGGCCCTTATCCGAGTGGCCGCAGAAGGGGACTCGGGCCCCAGGTTGTCTTCTTCGGCCCTTAGTGCAGGAGCTGTGTGCGTGGAGGGGAAGCTGGACGCCTCCTGATCAGCCCTCCTCCGACCAGCCTGAGATCCCCCTTGTATCCACGTCGGGGCGCGAAGGTGGGGCTGCTGTCTGCTTGGAAAGAGTAGCTGCGGCCGGGCAGAAAAGCTTCTCGCCCCATCTCCCTCATCCATTCACGCATTCACTCACAAGCATCCACGCCGGCGCTCCAGCTGCCTGCGACATTTCAGCCACACCCCATGTTTCCAAGGACTGAAGTCCAGAGGCAGCCCCCCCTCCCCCCCGCCTCCTAGCTAAGACAGAGCAGGTGGGAGGGAAGGCGATGAGCCAGCGGCCTGCGGACAGGGAAGCGGAGGTGACCTCTGAAGCCCGGCAGCTCTTGCCAGCAGGCAAGGGGAGGGTCAGTCAACGGCCAGGACCACAAGTTAAGGGGAGCGGCCCATCCTGGCGGAGTCCTGCCTGGCGCCTGGAGCTCAGCAGTGCCTGGAGGAGGGACCGCCACCCTGAGGCAGCCCCTCATCCCGACTAGAGTAAGAACGCTTGGGAGGAGGCGAAGGCGGTCTGCCACTTTGCAGACTCATAGGTTTTGCTTGGACTAAGTATTAAAGGTCTGAGCATCGAAGACCTATTTACAGGGCAACATCACCTGGAGAGCAGGAGTCTGTTGCTGGGGGAGGTGTGTTGGGTACAGCTCTGCCACGCTGTGCTGCGCCCAGTCCTCGGAAAGCAAAGAACCCTCGCAACCCACCTCCCAGGATGAGGCTGAGTAGACGGACAGCCCCACTGGTGGAAGTGTATGGAGGTACAAGAGCTGGCCTTTGCCCCAACCAAACTGGGGTTGACGGCGTTCGGGTGGGCTTGCGTGTGACAGGTGTGCGGCGTGTGGATTCTGGTGGCCTGGCCTGGCCTGGCCTGGCCTGGCTGCTGTTCTGCTGCGTGAGTCAGCAGATGGAGAGAGCGGGGGGAAGAAGCTCAGCTGAAGGGCAGCTGGGCTGTCACGGGGGCCGGGGAGATGTAGACGCAGCAGCCCCGTTGGCCCAGCCTGGCATAGAGGCGTTGGGGACCGGGGCCCTGGGGGACACCCACCTCCTCAGCTGCTGGGGGACGTAATGCCGGTCTGACCCAAAGTTGGAGAGTGGCGGGGGGGGGAGAGGAGAGAAAAAGAGTGTGCGAAACTGGCTGGAGAGGAAAGTTGGAGAGCGACGATACAGGCGTGTGCAGAGCAGTCCTCAGTCCCTGCCTGGGGAGGAAGAAGGAAGGCCCACGGGCGGCTTCCCTGGAAGAAGGGAGGTGAAGACCCAGCGAGACGACATCTTCGCCCAAGGCCCAAGGCGAAAGGAGGGGTTCGTCGGTCCCTGGAGAAGGACCGGGCAGAAGACCCCGAGAGAGGTTCTCCCCCAACGGGGAGGTAGCAGGCGTTTGGCTGAGCGGTTCCAGGAGGAGGCCAAGCCACGCTGAGACACGGCAGCAAAATCCCGGCCCCTCCTTTCTTTCCACTCTCCCTCGACAAGCCCAGAGACCAGGGAGGGGGAGGCGGGAAAGGGGGGCAGCAGGAGAGACGGGGGGAGGGATAGTCCATGGGAGGGAGTTAGGAGGAAACCTGGAACCGGGAGAACACCGGGAGTGGGTTGCATATGCCGGTTGCAGATACTGGTTGCAAATAGCTTCGCTGTCAACGGGAACGAGCACAAAAGCCCCCACCGCCTTGTTTTCCGTGTCAGTTGCCGCCCTTGCAAAGCCAGATGCACCTCCAGCTCAAAAAGAGCCCCGTCGCCCTGTGACAAGGTGGTTACTGGGACCTGCTTTTGCCCCTTCTTTTAAACCTGTTTTATAATTGTATTATGTTTTAATTATTGTTCGCTGGCGGTTAGATGGGTGGCGCTATAAATCTGTTGAACAGGCACACAAAGAAAGAGAACTCGATAACTCTTCTGCACGTACTGATGTTCCCAGCTGCAGGAATGATGGTCTGCCCTGGGAGGCGCGGATGACATGACGCCTGCTTTCTACAACGCCTGTCTCAGCCCATCGACCTTCTTCCTCACGGGCATTCCTCAGCTGGAAGCGGTCCACGCGTGGCTCTCCCTCCCCTTTGGCTCCCTGTACATCATGGCCGTGCTTGGGAACTGCACCATCCTCTTCCTCATCAAGGCGGAGCCTGGCCTCCACCAGCCCATGTACCTCTTCCTTTCCATGCTGGCCGTCACTGATTTGGTGCTCTCCTCCTCCACCCTGCCCAAGCTGCTGGCCATCTTCTGGTTCGACCACAAGGAGATAGGCTTCCACTCATGCCTCCTCCAGATGTTCGTCATCCACTCGTTCGCCACAGTTGAATCGGGGATCTTCCTTGCTATGGCTTATGACCGTTATGTGGCGATATGTGCCCCCTTGAGACACAGGGCCATCTTAACCCATTCGGCTGTGGTCAAGATTGGGGCGACAGCTCTCCTGCGGGGCTTCCTCTATATCTCTCCCCTTCCTTTGCTTGCGAGGAGACTGACTCGCTACCACACCAACATCATTGCACACTCTTATTGTGAGCACATGGCTGTGGCCATGCTCTCCTGCGAGGACACCTCCATCAGCAACATCTATGGCATGGTAATTGGCTTCCTGATCCTCATCATCGACTCCCTGGGCATCGGGGTGTCTTACGTCCTGATCCTCCGGGCAGTGATGAATTTGGACACAGCAGAGGCTCGACTCAAATCTTTTAGCACTTGCAGCTCCCACATTTGTGCCATCTTAGCCTTCTACGTCCCCATAGCAGTCTCCTCCCTGATCCACAGGTTTGGCCACCAGGTGTCTCCTCCAGCTCACATTCTTCTGGCCAACTTCTATCTCATCTTTCCCCCTGTTTTGAATCCCATTGTTTACACTGCCCGGAGCAAAGAAATGCAGAGGAAATTAGCCAACACGCTCTCCTGGGCCCGGAGACAAGCCAGACGCCTCTTGTAAGCTCTTCAGAAGGGAGTTTTCTTCTGTAAGGGCCCTGAGGAATTCATCTCAGCCCTGAGCCGTCCAGGTGGTAATGTTGATGTCCTGACCCACTGCCTGGAGCTTGTTTGGGTCTGCACGGGGAGGAAGAGGCTCAGGTTCAACCCTGCCAAGGCTAAGTAGCTGTAATGATTTGGGCCCCCTGGAGCTGGGGAGCTGGGGAGTGGTCATCTTGGGTCTTTGACGGGGTGGCGCTTCCCCATCCCACACTGGTATACAACTTGGGGGATCCTCCTGGACTCACTGCTCCTGCTCAGGAGCCGGTGGCATGGTGACTAAGAAGGTCTTTGCACAGGTCCGTCTGGTGCGCCAATTGTGCCTCTTCCTAGGACAGGAGGTCCTTCAGATGATCACTCGTGCCCTAGTCCCCTCATGACTGGACTACTGCAACGGATTCTGCGAGGGGCTGCCCTTGAAACCACCTAGGAGCTCCAGCTGGTCCAAAAGGCAGTGACGCAGGCAGAGCAGGCAGACTGGGATCAGTCCGTGCGTCATCCCTGCTTCGTGAGCGGCACTGGCTACCACTTCTGGGTGCCATTCAAGGTGTGGTTATTGCACAGAAAGCCCTTCGTGGCATAGGCAGGGACCTCAAACACACTTGCTACGGGCCCCTAAATTCTCCTCTGCGGTCCGCGACAGTTTACAACTCAGGGCGCTGCCAGAGCTGAATCCCAGGGAGGGGGCTCTGCGGGTCTCTGCGTTCTGCCACTGCTGTTCTGCCTTGCCTCGTGCGCGGGCATGGTGCAGGCATGCAATTGTTGTGCGGGCACGCAGGGGGAATATTGCCCCAGACATTGCCATTGGTCTATGCTAGTTGGGGCTAACACGTGTGCAGAAGATGGTGAGATGTGGGGGTCTGCAGCTGCAGCCGTGGTGATGCAATTTTGTATTGCTCTATGTATTTTTGCTCTGATTAACCATCAATAATGCAGTCTTAATTGTGATTATGAATGATAGATAATAACACCACAAGTTCAGTCATTCCTTTTTAATCTCAGTCAAATGCATCAACCTGTTATCAATATTGGAAGAGTTAGCTATGTATGCTCCATTTAAAAGCAATATTGTGTGACACTGATGTTACATGCGTTGTGTGAAGCTTACATTACCAGAACAGGTTTTCTTGAGAGTCCTGCAAGGCTTGAAAGGATGATTTGGGAGCCGAACTTGATGAATCTTACTGAAGCTATTTGGCTGCGTATTGTCGAAGGCTTTCACGGCCGGAATACGATGGCTGGTGTGGGTCTTCCGGGCTGTGTGGCCGTGTTCTGGAAGTTTTGTGTCCTAACGTTTCGCCAGCATCTGTGCCCACCATTGGATTGTTTGGAAAAACACAACTTCCAAACAATCTTCAGACCCACCAGAAAAGTGCAAGAAGTGCTAAAATCAGCAAAAGACAAAAGGGATCCCCTCAC